AAATACAATTTTATACGTTTGTTTGTGCAGACTTCAGCCCTCAACGTACTTAATGTCCCATCAAACATTTAATTCAACATGTTATCATGAGTAAAACTGTGTAACTAGCATTACATTTATATGTGGGTACCTCTGCTTATGTCATTAGGGATGGGTCCCAAGAAGTAAAACTATCGGTCCATAGAGTTTCAGAGCTCTTGCTACTTGAGCATTAGTTTGCCTTGTTTTCCTGAGGTAGACTCTAGCTATGTGGTCCAGGTTGACTTGTCAAACCTCTTGACTCAGCCTCCCATTGGCTGGGGTTAAAGGCAGGTATCATCCAATGGGGCTCCTAATCACTGTTGGAAAAGGAACTATCCATTTGCCCACAGCCGTCCCACACATTCAAAACACACAGATTGCTGTCCCCTCATCAGCAACAAACATGCTTTTACAAATGTCTGGGGCTTGAGAGATGGCTCAGTAGTTTAGAGAGTGGCTTGCTCTTGCAGAGAACCCAATGGTGAGGCCAGTTCCCTGCACCTATAACAGGTGGCTTGCAGCGACTTGACACCCCCTTCTGGTGCTCCGAAGGCACATACACACGTACACATACATTTTTTTTTTAATTTGATAATCTGGAGGTGTGAATGGTCACACTTTGGTTTAATTTATATGTCTTCAGCAATTTGGCTTAATTTTTATTTCTTCGATTTTAGCTGAGTGAATTTCTCTCAGATTTGTAGTTGGGTATTTGCCTCTTAATGTTCAGATCATGTTCTAAGCAAAATTTTAAAAGAAAAGTTCAGCGTTGGGTAATGAGTTGACATTTTGTTCCCTTCACTGTCTTGGGAAGGTTTATGACTGCAAATATGAAAATAAAAATGTTATTTTTACAATTGAGAAGGGAGAAGAAATGGGTAACTGTTAAATGGCCTCCGTTTGCTGCTCTGTACTCCACGTGATGGGACTTTGCATAATTGAAATAATCCCACCGGAGTTGTGGCATCAGCACCATGGAGGGTAGGAACGAGTGGGTTTTGTCTTTGTATTCTCCAGGGCCAGCACACCCAGTGTCCTTCATACCCAGCGCTAAACACGTTCCTTGATGAATCAGGGCTAGAGCAAGTGTGCTGCTTGGGACGAAGAATTGCTGGTTGCAGAAGCGATATTCTGTTCACCGTGTGGCCATTTGCCTCTGCTCTCTGGGGTGGCCTCTGCATGGGTGTTAATGAGGCCAAGGTCAGAGGTTCTATCTGCATATGACCTATTTAGCTTTGTTCCATGTCATGGCCACAATCTGTACTCCTGGTTTTTGTTTTTTGTTTTTTTTTTTTTTTCTTTTCTGTGGTCAGCTGACTGGGAAATAATGTGCTGTTCATCACATGAGAGACAGGTTGGAGGGAGGTCCAGATTTCCAGAGCTGTGGAGAGCCTAAATACATC